TAAAGTAATATATTTTCAAAGAAAATACATGTTTTTTAAAAAAAGAACTTGCTTAAATATTCAGACCTCCATATGATCTCGAGATTGTCCCTTCCCAATAATGGAAAAAGTTGGAACCTTACCCTTTAGAAGGGGTTAGAAGGTTTCTGGGTTAGGCCTTCTCAGAGACCTGGAAGACTATGTAAATCTGGACACACTAGAATCCTGAAAACTCCCCAGCCTACTCCCCTCACTGAGCTCCGGAAGGCTAGCAGTTCAAGGTAAATCCTCTTGACAAGAAAACAGGACATTTTCTCCAGGGAATCTGACCAGTCCAAGAGGAAGTCCTAAAGGTGTGGACACTGGGGATTTACTCCCCCCAGATTCTATCAGATCACCTTACAAAGGCATATTCTTTTTATTTACTTATTTATCCTCACCTGAGGATATTTTTTTGATATCCTCAGAAAGTGGGAGAAACATCGATGTGAGAGAGATACATCAATTGGAGGTCTCCCGCACGAGCCCTGACCAGGGCCAGTGATGGAGCCTGCAACCAAGGTATGTGCTCTTGGCCAGAATCGAACCCGGGACCCTTCAGTCCGTGGGCCGATGCTCTAACCACTGAGCCAAACTGGCCAGGGCACACATATTCTTTTTAAGCCCTACTCTTAAATATAATACCACCACTGAGTGCCAGGCAGCTAAGAAAAGTCTATGACATGAAAAACTATGAAAGAAAAACAGAAGGGTGGAAAGCATCAGGCAGGGAGATGACGGACTCAGCAGAGCATGTTAGGCATGCTCTCCCTCTCGGGAGCTCACCCACACCTTTTTTCCGAGGCACACATCTTCTAAACTCTAAGGGTCCCCAGAGACTTGCAACCAGGGGAGCAATGGGCAGCAGCAGCTCGTCCCGGGTTAACCCCCTGAACCTGTCTCTAAGGCCCATTTTCTCTGACTTCCCAGTGAGTCAAGGCAGCCCTGCCTAGGCTCACTTCTCTCCTATAACATTTTTAGAGAGCTAAAGCAGCCTCACCTAGGCTCTCACCTGTTTCTTCTTCTATCCTAAGCCCTTCCTTGTTTCACTGTCCCCAGCTTTAGTAAACGTACTTTCAAAACAAATTTTTTAAAAAAAAAGCATGCTAATGTCCTCAGAGATAAGATATTGCAACCCTGGTACAGGGTACTATTTAAAAAGAAACAAACAGCCCTAGCTGGTTTGGCTCAATGGTTAGAGCATCGGCCTTCAGACTGAAGGGTCGTGGATTCGATTCCGACCAAAGGCACATACCTCAGTTGCAGGCTTGATCCCTGGTCCCCAGGGCGTGTGTGGGAGGCATCCAATTGATGTGTCTCTCTCACATTGATGTTTCTCTCTCTCTCTCCACTTTCTCTGAAAAGCAATGGAAAAATATCCTTGGGTGAGGATTAAAAAAAAATAATAAAAATAAAAAATAAAAACAAAAAAAAGGGACATTCAGAGAATCAGCTTGGGGAAATCTTCCATAAAGAAGATCAAAAGACAAGAAAGTGAGGACTGCAGGGAGAGAAGAGATAAGAAAAAAACAGGTAAGTCCAGGAGACCTAACATCTGAGTTAACAGGAAATCCAGGAGGAAAAATCAGAAAACCAAGGAAAGAAAACCATTAAAAAAATAATTTCAGTTCCTCAAAAATAAAGGATGAGAATCCATTCTGAAAGGGTTCATCAAGGGCCTGGCATAATGCATGATAACAGACCTTTGCCAAGGCACGTCATCGTGAAATTTCAGAACACTGGCAACAGAAGAGAAAAAGTCAGAGTCAGGACTCGGAACGGCTTCAGACTTCTCTAAAGCAGCATAAAATGCCAGACAAAAAAGTAACAGTGTCTTCAAAATTTTAAAGAGAAATCCCAACCTAGCATTTCAGACCCAATCAGATCAAGTATGAGACATTTTCAGACATACAGTCTCAAAAAAACCACTTCTTATGCACCTCTTCTACAGCAGGACTCTTCCAGGATGAGGTAATAAGCCAAGAGCGGAGGAGGTTACAAACAAAACGGGAGGTTCAACAGGGAGGTGTGGGGAGAGCCCACAATGACAGCAGCACATCAGGCCCAAGGTGGAGCCAGTCCAGGCTGGGACGGGCCAAGGAGAAACTGATAAAACAGATGTGTTAGTGTCTTTAGGTAAGTTTGGGGTTGAATTAGTGACAAGAGGACAGAAAGCTAAGCAAAAAAGAATTATTAATTCTAGGGAAAAGAAAGTTCTGCAGAAAAGTAACCCAGTTCACTACATTACTGAGCTGTGATTTGAATAGCCAGCCACAAAAATGTAAACACTATGATCTAAGCAGAATTACAGTATCAGAGAGATGGGTGATGGGGAGTATGTGCACGGTAGGCAGGACGAAGACAGAATTCAAAAGGTAATGCCCAAAATAGCCCGGCCGGGCGTGGCTGAGTGGTTGAGCATCGACCTAGGATCCAAGCGATCGGGGTTCGATTCCCGGTCAGGGCACATGCCCAGGCTGGGGGCTCAATCCCCAGTCAGGGGTGAGCAGGAGGCAGCTGATCGACGACTCTCTCATCATTGATGTTTCTATCTCTTTCTCTCTCCCTCTTTCCTCTCTCTGAAATCAATATATATTTAAAAACAAAGAAACAAAAAAACAACAAAAAACAAAAGGTAATGCCCAAAATAAAGCATCAAGGAGCCATGCAAACTTGCTTCAAGTGTGGTGTGGCATCAGACAATGAATCAGCCAAGAGATTGAAAGGGAACTACTTTGAAGAAGGGAAATGGATGGAAGGGCAGGTAGGGTAGGAGGGACGTTGTTTTTCATAAACTTTGCAGAACTATTTGCTATTTCAATGTGAAAAACCGACTTTTCTTCTAAAATGTGGGATATAAAACTTTTTATAAAGCTGTGTGCTTTATTTTATTGTTTTATAAAACTTCCACATTTTTTACTGGGAACATTTAATTAGAAACAAAACTGAGAGAACCCTTCACTTTTCAGGATCTAGGTAGGTTTACAACTAAGTTTGGCATGAACCAAATCCAAAGCCAATTTTTCAGATTCTGGATGCAATTCACCACTAAGTGTAATGTGTACTGTTTTACAATAAAATATAACTTAAACAGTGATCACACAAAAATGTACCCTAGAGTCCAGGGTCAAAATGTGGCCTCAGATACACTGAATTAGAATCACCTAGCTGGGGTAGCAAGGGCAGTGTTTAGAATGCAGATTCCTGGGCCCCACTCTAGACCAACTAACCACTATCTCTAGGGGTGGGGCCTTGGAATCTAAATTTCTAACAAGATCCTCAGCTGAGTGTAAACCACTGCTCACACTCACTACATTAATCATTCAGGAGACTTCATTAATAAGCCAAATAAATCAATGTCTATAAATCAAGGTGACCATCACAGAAGCAGCAAAGTAGCTAATGCAGGGTACTTTGGGTATTACAACTTCTAGCTGAAAGAACTCCATTTATAAAGACTTCAAAGAAATCTGCTCTATATGAAAGTCAATAACAAGTTTTTCTTACCAGAAACAATCAATTCTTAGTCAAATGTAAAACAAATAAACTCCATTTACGGAATAAGTTCATTTGATATAGCACCACATCCAGGAACCCCTCCTCTGGAGCAGTACTGTGTTCTGGAGCACAGTCACACTTCATCTAAGTGTCAAAGCTGGGGTACTGAGCAAGAGTCACAGTGGCTGCTCTGGGGGACAGTCTTTGAAGCCTTACTTGATGTGCCTGTGGTACCCGATTGACCCCACCAATGCTTGCTCCTTGTTTTTTAATTTGATTTGAGAGAGAGGGGAAGGGAGGGAAAGACAATTTGTTGTTCCACTTAATTTATGTATTCACTGGTTGATTTTTTTATTTTTAGAGAAGGGAGAAATATCAATGTGAGAGCGTAACATCACCAGCCGCCTCCTGCATGCCCTCCCCTGGGGATGGAGCCTGAAACCAGGTATGTGCCCTGACCAGGAATTGAACCGGCAACCTTTTGGTGTACCAGACAATGCCCAAATGAACCACACTGGCCAGGTCTACTGGTTGATTTTTGTATGTGCCCTGACCAGGGATTGAACCTGCAACCTTGACATATCAAGATGACACTCTAACCAACTGAGCTACCCAGCCAGGGCTGCTCCTTAGGAGTTTTTTTTTTTATTACAGGAACAATAAAGAGTCTGTTACCTTTTGGTAGTGTCATGATTATAAAGCAAGCCTTGTTTAGAAAATCCCTATTGAATGCCAGATTAACAGATGTGCTGGATTTTCTTCTTTCATCACTTGAACAATCCGTTCAGTGAGCAATGTTCTAAGGGCTGATAACTGATCCCTTTCCCTCAATAGTTTTTGCTGTAGTTCATCCTATACTGAACCCCTGGCAAGAACTCTTTTCAGTATGACTTCTTCAGGATGCTCTTCCAATTTTTGTGTTTTTGTCCATTTTTCACTTTGCATACCCTGCCCTCTCTACCTTTGCTACATTAAAAGCTATGGCTGTGCCAATCAATGCTCAGATGCTCTGATAAATGCACAAGAATCTGGCCCCACAAAACTGCTTACAAACACAGTATAGGAGCCATAGATGTAGGTCACTAAGATTCTCTGAGTTACCTTTTAATATTAGGTTACTTTTGCCAAATTTGAAACCACTAGGGTTTCCAGGCTCAGAGGTCAGAGTACTGGACTTTGTTAAGGGCCAGGACCACCCATGTTATGTTTTTCAAGCTGAACTGATGACATTTCCACAAAGGTTACCTGAACAAAGCACCATATATTGCCTATGTTGGAAGATAAATAAGACAGTCTGTACATTTTCAGAGTTTTCTAAGGGCTTAACTAGCCAACTGGCCTGGAACAGCAATTTAAACTTTTATCAAGAACTGTGCTACTTCAAAGTACTGGCATTTTCCCAGGACATTTCCCAGGGTGTCACAGTTTAACCTGCTGCCAAAGCAAACAGAACACCAAACTCCAAAATGAACACATAATCCGTATTTTCACAAAAAGAAAAACAACCACCATATTTATTTAGTTTAATATTTCCCCTGATCTAAAGAGAAAGATGTCAAAAGAACACCTAGGACCATACAGATAAGCACACACTCCACTGAACCCAGATAACCTAAAAGAAAAAAAAAGGGCAAAGTTCTGTGCAACAGATGAATTTATCTTCGCTTCTGGAAGATGTTTCCACGTCCCATTCCACGTCCTCTTCCTCTGGCAGCCACTAAAAGGTGGGGGAGAGAGAGGACAAGTCCAGGTCAATATGGTAGTGGCTCATGCCACTGAGCAGTTGGAGCTCTGGGATATCGGTGTAGGAAGGGCTTGAAAGAACACCTGGCCCAATACCACACCTGCCAACAGAGCTGAAGTGGGTACCAGACTCCTGCCTTCCAGTCCAGCACCGCTCTCTACAAGAGACTGACAGGCAGAGCATTCAGAGCAAAGATGGTTTGGGGAACAAGTCTGAGAACCATAGAAAAGACGAATTCCCAGAGCTGACCTAGTGCGAGCTAATAAAACATGACAGGTACATTTAATTCTCACTTAAAATTCTGAAACAAATGCAGTTAAATGTTAACATCTGTTAAATCTGGGTGAGGAGTTTTATTATTCTTTGAGGGATTCTGCATGTATAAAATGTCTTATAATAGCAAAATAAAAAAATAAAACTCACAAAAAAACAAAACCATGCAAAGGGTACAATAAGACTGTTGTTTTCTGTGACCCAAGAGGTCTAAGAGAGGGCCAGTGGCTTTAAAGGACAGGTGAAAATATTCTGATGGCTACAAACTGGAACCTCACCCCTCTCTCCTGTTACTGAGCATGGAACTGCCCTGCAGAGGGAGGGAAGTCATCTGAGAACCCAGACACATGCTGACAGGACCAGAGCAAGGGTTTGGGAAAAGCACAGATGGCTAAGGCAAAAGCCAGTGGATCTGGGCAAACTCACTGCCAAATGCCTTCTATTGCACAGCCACTGGGTTTCACCTTTTGCTAGAGAAGATGGTGCAGTTACACAGTGACAATGAGGATAACCTTTCCTTGAGAAAGCAAAGGGAGTAGCAGTTCTAGTAAGAAAGCTGGCATTTCTGAAACCATTTCGTCTCCAGGACAAAAGGTCCAGAAATTCTGGTTCTATCTCCCCACCACTGCCTCTTGTCTAAGAAGGGCAAGAAGATTAACTGATCCATTTTTTGGGAAGGCATTTTAAAGGATTACTTTATTGCATCTTTAAATCCAAAAGCTACCTCATATTTAAAAAAACACACAGCAGCTAAAGATACTGATAGAGAATCCAGTGACTTTCCTGCACTGTGAATCTTTTTACCAATGCCAAGAGAGATTCTAAAGACTACACTTGCTTTCCTTAGCTAATCAACATGGCAGAACTTTCCATGGATCGAAATATAATACCTATGATTGGGCTAATCCAGAAAAAAGGACCAACTACATCACTGGGAAAAGGCTAGTCTCACTTTCAAAATATGCTAAAGAAATAATTTATTTTCAAATAGAAACAGCTTTGAAAATAGAAGTCTGGCCCCTTTAATGGACAAAGATGGCTTAAAACTGCTTACTTCTTATCTGAAAATGGATCCCTACCATCAGCATTTCCCCCAGTTTATGCTGAGTGTCAATACACATCCCAGGCTCTCTGAGAACTGTTGCCCCATTGCTTCAGAAGCCAAGATTATCCACACTGTGGTTCACGGCTCAGCAAACTAGACAAGAGCAAGCCTCCCCCAGGTCCCTTGGTCATAATTCTGGAAACACAGGGTTTTGTAGAGATGAGACTTATCTACTTTTGTTTAAGACAGAAGTCTCTATCTTTTTTCTAAGGACCCACTAGGGATTTTGTATAAGCCTTATGAATGCAACCAGGTGAGGCAAGACAGAGAGGCAGGACAAGGCCCTAAGCCCCTCACAGGTGGGGGCCCCAAAAGTTTAGGTAAAAGAGGTAGCAGTGGGTGTGGAGATAGCTGGTCAGGTCCACCTCCATGCTCAGGCAATAATAGGGCCCTTTCCTAAAAGATACACAACAAATCTGTACGTTAAAAATAGTACATGAAGAACACCTACCTTGGGCCTTCAGAATGGCAGCTTTTCCCCGACCAGCCCCTGAGCCTTGGTTTTTATTTTTCATGCTCTTTAACATGGGGGCGTTTTTCAGCATGTCAGGCAAAATCAGAAAGCGGATCTTGCTCCCACGAATGTACACCTGCTCCAGCTGTGCCACTCGGCCATCTCTGTATGTGACTGTGATGTTGGACATCTGGAAGAAAATCACCAGCTCATCAGTAAGGGCCAACAGGGCCAGTGGAAAACTGGGGCACACTAAGAGGGGGAGCCTTGGCTGGTGGGAGGAGACGTCCAGAAATGCACAAACATCATGAAATAGGAACCAGGCAAAGCGAGGGGAATGCAGGTGCCTATTGTGTATACCAGGGACTGTGCTAAGGACCTTACATATATGGTCCTCATAGCACCTCCAGGGTGGGGATGAGCTTTACTATTTTTATAGATACAAACAAACAAAACTAAGTAACTCATCCAAAGTCAAATGACCAGAATACAGGGACTCCAGATTCAAGTGCAGCTGGCCTGGCTCCAGAGCTGTAACTGTGTTATACTGCACCCCCCC